TCCCCTGATGAACATCAAATTCTTCCAAAGATTGAAAGTCACCGGTGGTTTTGGAAGACCAATCAAAACTACTATACTATTTGATACTGGTGCTGTTAGGTCTAGGAATTAAAAACCAAAAAAAGATTCACATGTCAGTGCCCGCAGCAGTGGTAGTCCGTCTGTGAAAAGTTCTTGCAAACATCAAGTACAATCAACGTGCAATAAAAATTTTCCATGCTCCTATTCTGCGCATTTGCAACCTTTTCTGCCCATGAGGGCTACTAGCTGACTTCTACCAATCTCTATAAGCCATTTAGAATCGGTGATAGTATGCTTCTGTAAGATACGCATGTTGATAAGTTGCTTCAGCTAACTACTTCAATTGATTAATAATCATCAGTTTAAGAAGGATAGTCATTTGTGGTTGGATGAACCGGAGTCGTAGGAAACCCACAAAAGAAATGCATATTTGGTTCGTAGGGAGAGAGCTATGGAAGTGCGGTGTGGAGGCATAAGGGAGAAAGATGATGATGCTGTCGTTGTAGATTTTACCTGGGTTGCTTCGTAGCCCAGGGAAAAGAATTTTGTGCGCACAAAACAGCGTTTTCTAGGCGTACAGCAACCGCCTCCACCGACACCGCTACGGACTGATCTAGTAGTGTTGAGTGGTCTTCCAAAATCCTATACGCCGCCTGGAATTATTTTTAATGTTCAGGAGATAGGCGAAGCACCGTTAACCCGTAACGCAGTGGTGTTTATCCTAGTCGAGTAGATTAATACCTATGTCTCTCGTTGCGAAACAGAATAATCGATCAACATATGTGACCTGCTGTATAAAAGCAAACAAGAGAGTTGTTGACAGTGTGGAGGTTAATTTTTCCTGCCCTCTAATAAGGAGACAAAGTGCTTGTGAAAGCAATTGCCCACGCAGCATAAACAAGTTTAAGCGTGACTTAAGGCGTGTGACTTACTCATATGGTTTTTCAATAAGGAGGCAAGACGTAGGTCTTGGCTACAATCCTCTTATCTAGTAAATAAGCTTGAGATTCATTCAGAACTGCAATGTTGCATATACTGAAAGGTCTTCTTCTGCTTTATATCTTTGTGAATTTTCAGTCTTTTTTTCCTTGAAATGGATATAACTTGGAAGACATTCATAGCCCTCTGCACCTTTCATTTGACAGGCCAAAATATTTATGCTTTTTCTGAAAACGCTTATGATCGTCAACACCTTTTAGCACACATAAACTGTGAGCTTCCAGTGCGGTGACTAAATGACCCGCAAAATTCTACAATGTTACAGGTCTTAATTTCGGGTGCTTTTCCGTGTGCGGAAGTCTACAAAAGAGGGCAGTTAACAAAACTGCCTCTGAGGTTAGTCAGCAAAATTGTTTTGAAGACGTCTTAGAACATCTCGTAGCAAATATCGAATAGTCGGTGGAATTTAAGAGTAGGGCGTAGGAACATTTCTCAGACTAAACACAGCAGTTAGACTACACCAGATATCATTAAGCTTCAAGGGCAACATTTATTTTTAGTTTAGTACTCAAAAACAGACAGACAGGAGTTGTTGAAGTTTGTTGCATTTTCAAGGAAAGGCGTCCTTTGGGAAAATGGGAAAATTTGTTCAGTTAATTTTTGACACTGGATCCTCAGGTCGTTATCAGACTTGAGAAAAATGTGCAAAGAAAAATTACTATTTCAAAGTACTGATGCAGTTATATATTCGTCTAGTGTGGGCGCTAATTTGTAGTTGCAATTTTTAGTCCCACCGACGTTGAAATAATTAGCAGTCGCAATGGCTTATTGGCTAATTGACCACTGTAATTTGAGTCGGTATAGTTTCCGTTAACGATTTTGCCATTGCGACTGCCAATTATGTTCACCACGATATGACGCAAATTGCAACTACCAATTAGCACCCACACTAGACGACTATGTAACAGCATCAGCACTTTGAAATGTTAACTGTTCTTTGTACATTTTTCTCAAGTCTGACAACGACCTGGGGATCCAGTGTCGAAAAGTTACTGAATAAGTTTCCTCATTTTCCCAATGGACGCCTTTCCTTAAAATTACATTTCTTGGGATGCCTGCCTTCCATTTGTTGTATGTCATTTGTGGTAGCCAGCCTCCATGGTCTATGTGAAATTCCCACTCTCATGAGATCTGAGCCGTTCTTCTTCGACGGTTTTATCAGTCACTGCGGTCGAAGCTGCCTCCGCTGCCCTGACTCTGTCTCGCAGATGGGTAAAGGAGGTGAGGGTAGGGCAGATACTGCGTAAGTATACCATCACGATAAATTAAGTCTCGCACAAGTCACCGTACCTGCTCCCAACGAGCTTGGGAACATGGTGGACCTTCTCGTTCGTGACGACCGAAATATCAGCAGCAGCGAGCTCTGATGTCTTTAAAAAGAGAAAACACTCTTGAATGTAAGAGGTGTTATCTGATTCCTATCGGGATAAGAAAAAGAAATGGAGGGTATGTTCCATATGTGCACGCATGAAATCCAAAATCCATAGACATCATAGAATGCATTTCCTAAATGATGCTATAGCAACAGAAGGTGGACACAAATGAATCAGGTTTTGATCCCTATGGACAGCTGATCGCAGTGACTGCGGGGTTAGTTGACAGTCCGCATCAGCCTGTTTACTAGTTATATGGGCACTTATTTTTTGAAGAATACAGCGAAATACTTTACTTAGGTCGATCCAGTTTATTTCATTACACAACACAAAAATGATAGTATGTAATTTTACCATAATTTTAGCCCAAAAGGACTTCATGCAGTAGCAACTAATAGAGCCGATTCAGTAATGGCTGTCCGACAGTTGTAAGGTCACTAAAATAACAGGATATCTAACAGACACTTCGATTCAAATTTTCAATACTTCGGTTGCTAACTTTAGGGACCAGTGATTTGGTATTCGGTCCAGGTTCATTCAGCGCATCTAACGTTTCCTTAATAACTTTATTTAAGTCCCTTCATATGGAAAGTTCGATACTTTAAGTGAACGTCTGTATACGTAATTCCTATGCATTTATAAAAGGGTTAAGATCAAGTGCAGGAATGGCCAGATAAATATATATCTGAACTAGAATGTCCCTCAGATGTTAGTTCGTCCTGTGACTCGTAGGTATTCCAAACTTTTCCTATTGGTGCATCGCAATTCCATCATTGAACTAACTCACAAAGTGCAGTATTTTAGCAGACAGTATGTGCATCCCTGACTGAACATTCTTCTCTTATGTGAATACAAACTTAAAGAAAAATATTAAGACCAGCAAACTGACTTATCCACACTATTTTTTTATTGCAGGCACCAGGGTCCTGGTGTCGACCATACTATTAATACCTTCAAACGTCTAGGAAATCTTAAGTGAATTTCTTCGAATCTAAGTATATCACCTTGTGCGATTGATCTGTGCACATAATTTGGTCCTCAGCTCAATGTACCCGCTGTTCTCTGTGGTAGTTTGTTCACTATATCATTCATGCGAGCTTCTCACGAGGGAATAAACCAAGACTTTCTGATTCCGTGAATGAATATCACATCCCACTGACCTGTCAGGTTGCTCTATAATGGTAGTACAGCCATCTTTTAATCGTGTATATCATTTTAGAACATACTAGGCGTTTTACGAGAAAACGTTTAGCTCACAGGAAAGCATGTGCCACTATTTGAAGTGTACTCAGATTGATAAAAAATACACGATATCGGGGAGACAATGGTTTAAATAAATCAGTATATATAAGAAAACTTTTCCTTTCGTTATTCAGAAAATAAATTTCAATTCACTGATCTTTAATCCACCTCCAAGACGTGGGTGGGTTCGGTACATCCAGTACAACCGGTAACTGTATTCAGTATGGCGGCCTATTCCAAAAGTTAACACTAACAGAGGAGCTTATTTCTCAAAATCAGTAAGTTTGGTCGGTGTCTGTGGGTTTATTTACATTTTAAGTATGAAGTTCTTCACACTACACAAATGAAAAGCAATTAGTCAAGTAGGACTGAGCTGGATTAATGCAGGTTTGACTAATTTGGGAGCGCACGGTCAGGATAAAGTGAAGAATAGCAATAGGGAGCTGGAGCAGGTGAACTATTTAAAATGCAGGAGCATCATCTTAAAAAGTCCAGACCATCACCACGTGCATGAACTTAAATATAGGGATAAACATTGACTTAACACAAACCCTAGTGTGAGCGCACAGAAGGCTGCTAGTAAACGTTGGCGAGATGCCAGGGAATAACCGTCTCTTCGATTGACCCAATTCTGAAATATTCGCGGCCTCGATGGGAGTGTAACTCGCATAGCAGGGAAGGCTTTTGCGCAGTCAATTCTCTCCCGTTTGAGCTACGAGGCTCGTAGCCAGTTGTGTGGGTTCAACTCCCACCGAAGCCGCGAATTTTTCACAATTTCGTCAATCGAATTATTAAAATCTGCCAAAAGCCTAATAACCATCTCTGCATTCACTGGCTTGGTCGCTGTTCTCTAGCCGGTCCTCGTAGTAGCCTTCAAAGAAAACATTATTAAAAAAATGCGGGTTTATTTTATATTCTTAATTGTCCTGTTAAACTCTTAAGGAGTTGGCGCATCAGTATATTTGAGAGAAAGGTTTGTGGGTTATCTTTGAAGTCCCTTTTGTGCATACGTGTTGTGATATCACAAAATAGGATATCGACTTATTGGCGAGGCAACCTGACATGCGCCAGTGAGGTGGAACGTATGTGAAAAAGAGCAGACAGTAAAAAAACTCCTTGGGATTTTTTAGGAGAAACAACTGTGGCTTTTTGGGGAAATTCAAGTGGGGAGGGCATCGCAGAGGCCACCGGGATCATCACCGAATGGCGGAAGATGTGGCCAGACACTCCCTTGCTGATTGCAGAGCCCGCCGACGGGGTTGGGAAAACAGAAAAATCCTCCAAGATCATCAACACTTCGCTGTGAGTCGAACCGAGGGGGAACGTTTAGGGGGCGCGTGGACTATGGTTGCAAGGTTCAGCAGTCGCGATCGCTGACGGGACCGGCGCGGTTCGCATATGGTCAAGTATAGAAGACCGTGGAGACCTTCGCATGGCATGGAATATAACTAACTCAATAATCCGAAGAAGTTTAAATAGATTTAGTTAGTTTATTTTAGTGGGGTAATTTACGTAGGACAATTGCATGGCTTCATTTTTTGATAGTTCAGGTTTAACATTTATATTATTTAAAAATAGCTGATATCAATTTCTCTTAAAAAATTTATAGAAACATTACCGCGGCCGTACAAAAACTTCGGGGCCAGTCAACGAACGCGATGAGAACAGGGAGATACTCGGGGAAATCAATAAACTCAGCATGATGGTAAGCAGCCTGCGAGGCCGGTTTTTAATGAGAATGAATATGACACTGGACATTCAAATTTTATGCAATTCGAAATACTTTACCTTTTTACTGAAAGGTCATATTATAGCATTTTCAGCAAGATCCTTTTTGGTAGGTTACTCGTAAAGTAATCCTTAAAACCTTTGCAGATCCCTTTTACTTAAAACAAAACAAAGCAGCGAAATAGCATTAACAGGAAAAATAAAGGAAGTAACCTTTGTTTTATCATGTTAAGATGAACTGCATAAAAAATTTAAGGTAATTTCTAATAGATTTTACTAATATCCTCGAATATGTCATGTGTGTAATTGCAGCTTGCTTCACAAGAAACTGCCTGCAATATCCTTCACGAAAGCTGCGCTGCGCTGAAGGACACGATTGGTCACTTGCAGCGGCGTATGGCAGGACAAGAAAACCCTCAGTCGGCATCTACTCAGCACTGGTTGCCTAGAAGTAAGTCCTCAAACCATGTTGTTAACTTATATATATTTTTCAAAACCTGATTGACGCTTCTTGAGTTTAATTTACTTATCCTAGCCACTTATGACCACTAACTTGAACACGGAAACGTGTTACTCACTCATCTTTCTCTGTAAAATCCTGGTTGAGGTGATAGTGGCTTATGATGATTAACATGCCAGAAATGGTCATCCCGGTCTCTCTTGTCTTTGTCAGATATATTATTCTGCCTATGATACTAGCGACTATGCTGCTGCTGCTGGTTAGGCCCGCCAAGACGAGAACCTTCCGTAATGCGCTCGGTGCGCGCCCCATGATCATTTATTTTGACGAAAGAGCCCTCAAGGACGGATGTCCTGCTTCAAAATATACAGTCAACTGCTTACTTTATGAAATATTATGAATTTAGCACGCTAATTCCTGCTGCGCGCAGTCAGCGCACGCTGCGTCCAAAAGATCTTACAGCAGTAAAGTAGCGAAAGAATACTAATCGCAGGTTATAAAGTAGTATAAAGTTGTTCCCAAAATATCTTACAGCAGTAAAGTAATGAAAGAAGACTAATTGCAGGTTATACGGTACTATAAAGTTGTCCCGAAATACTAATGTTTTACAAAAACAGAAAATTCTCGAAATTGAAAATGGGGTTTATTAAATAAACTTAAGGTTTGAAAGTATAGGAGGCTTGCTCGTGTACAAAACAAGATTAATAAGGCAACACCAGTATAATTACGTTTGAAAATAGTACCATCGCTGGGTGGAGGGTGGTTAGGTTAGTAGGTAAACCCTTTCCACTGCGATCTTCATGCCCGATTCCTTATGAGACTAGGCGACATGGCAGTTCAGAGTGATAGGAGCAGTTTATTCTGTACAGAAAGAGTGGAGATTAGGATGGAGAAATTTGACACTCAGACAGGCCGGTGTCGGAGGTGTGAGAACGTGGGGTCGTCACATG